GTGGCGTTCGTGCTGTGAGTTTCTTTGTCCCACCCATACCTCTTAGCCTCCCCCTCCAACCACGATCTCACTAGTTAACCTTAAATAATTTTGCATAGTAATTTTTTTGATGCACAGTAGCCGGCTGATAGCTTGCCGGAACGATGCCCATCCATTACCGGTAGCTCAGCCGGCTTGCACCAGTAGCATTTTTCTCCTTTTTTCTGTGTATTGCGGCACAGTAGCTGAGATGTTTCCCACCTCTAGCTAATGTGTATAATGATGATGATGATGATGTACCACCACACCAGTTCGTGGACCTTCCCACTAGGTACATGAGAAATCAGCAGCTGTCCATTTTATATCTTGCTTTTGCTGTCACTTGACTTTGTAAATGATATTAATTACGACTCGCATCTTGGCGCTAGCGATCACGTTTGCTTGTATTTCCAGTGTACCCTTATCAGGCCTTGCCAAGCTACTACCAGTTGGTATCCAAAGGTTTGGGCCGCGGGCTTCAAAGCGATGCGGGATAAAACTAGCTCATCGCCTTGTGTGATATCTGAGACTGACACTCTTCACATAGTCTGGGAAAAACTTAATGCTCATATCGTTGACATTTTTGCACCTTACCTTCCATTGGTGAAAGGAAGGGAATCGCGAGCGCAGCCTCCATGGATAAATTCCGCGGGGAAGGGCCTACTAAAGCGGTCTGGATGCTGGCGAGCGTATCGAACAGTTCCGTCGAACAGCACGCTTGACGGGTATCGGTTGGTTTGAGTTGAGTGCAAGCTACATCTTAGATTGGCCCGGATCCAGTATTAAAAGGGCTTAGCTGATACTGCCTCGAAAAATCCCAAGGAATTCGTCGCTTACGTTAAACGACGCTGTGGTGCAAACTCGCCAATACAACCATTGCTTCGAGGAGATGGGACCCATGCCTATAGTGACTATGACAAGATATGAGTGCTTGGTGAGCAGTACTCAAGCGTCTTTGTCTACGAAACAAATACACCATGCAGCTTCAAAAGTCTCTGAGGACTGTTGTCTGGATGAAAATCCTGTAACTGAGTCTCAAGTTTTCCGGTTGTTGAGAGAGGTGAACTCAACTAAGGCTTCCGGGCCAGATTCTGTCCATCCAAAATTGTTGCACGAATTGGCAGTGGAACTCAGTGGACCTCTGACTTGCGTTTCATAAATTACTCAACAGCTGTCTTACCTACTGAATGGAAGGAGGCTGCTGTCTGCACGATTTTCAAATGCGGTGACAGACCTACCGGCTAATTACAGGCCTGTCAGCTTGACTAGCGTGGCCGTTAAGTTACTTGAAAAATTAGTACGAGATACAGTGGAGAACCATTTAAATAGGTTTAACCTGCTTAGCGTCGAGCAACATGGTTTTCGTAAGGGATTTTCGTGTCAAACAAACTTGCTGGTAGCTCATGAGAGCTGAGCCGAAGCCGTAGACAGTGGACGTGCGGTGGATGTGGTGTTCATTGACTTTGCCGAGGCCTTTGACACTGTTTCCCATTCGCGGCTCTCTCTGAAGTTGAGGTCGTATGGAATATCTGGTCGCGCTCTCCAGTGGGTGTCAGCTTTTCTGGATGGACGGGAACAGTGTATTCGTGTTGGAAGCAGTCTTTCGTTTCGACAAGCTGTCCTTAGCGGCGTTCCGCAAGGCTGTCCTAGGTCCGCTGCTGTTCTCAGTCTACGTGAATGATTTGCCGGGGGAGCTTGAGGTACCATCGCTCTTATTTGCTGATGACCTAAAGCTCTGGAATATTGTTGGTATTCCTGGAGGTCCTGCGGCTCTTTAACGGGCTCTGGATAGACTCTGGGAATGGTCTATCTTGTGGTTGCTGTCCATAAACCGGGCAAGGTGTTCAGTGCTGCGTATCGGAGTGTCTGCTTCCTCCACAAGTTATGTGCTCGATGGGAGTGAACTTCCTCACGTGACTCATCAGGTTGATCTAGGTGTCTTCCACTGTTCCGCACTTCACTCTGGATACAACTGGAAGAAGAGGGCTAGTAAAGGGTTCCGGTTGTTGTGGTTTGTCCGTCGTTCTTTCGGGTTCCCTAACCGCTAATGTGTTTGTAAAGCTCTTCTCAGCGTTTGTGCGACTCCACCTAGAATATTGCGTCCAGGCCTGTCCACCATGCCTTGTCCGGGACAAAATGGCGCTAGAAAGGGTGTTGCTTGTCGGTACTAGTTTGGTCGATGGGTTACGGGGACAAAGGTACCCCGAACGCCTACTTAGTTTGGGTATGCATCCAACGCACTTTCGAAGGATTAGAGGGAACCTAACCCTAATCTACCGTATTTTGACTGGGAAGGTTGGCACTGATTTGTCCTGGCTATTTAGCCCTGCTATCTTATCTGGTCTCCGCGCGCATTGTATGAATCTGGACAAACCGCGGTCCCATCGAGTTAGAGCGGAGACACGGTTATCGCATCGAGTCATCGAGCGCGGAAACTTGCTTCCAGAAAATGTTGTCAGGTAAGCTACGGTTAAGGGGTTTAAGTGTCAACTAGATGCTCTTGGGTGGCAACACGAAATCTTCCCTTTTTCCTAACTAATTCTCATCTTAATACTTCGATTCTATTTTTGATACTTTCCCTCATCATTGGTATTATCCTCTTCTTTTAACTGATTTCCCTTGCTCTTTACCTTCGATTTTCTTCTCTTCACTTTATTGACATAGTACGGACAGCTAATGTAAGGAACGAGGGCATTAAATTGGTGGACCAGGGTGTTCTTTCGGGTGTTTTCGTTTTAGATCCAACAAGCAGTCGGAGCACCCCTATCAACTGGATCAACGACCCCCTCAATGAGGAACACTTACGGGATTCATCTCGTTCCAGTCCTACCTGAACTTGAACTGAACTGGAAAAAGGGGAGAACGTTCGTAGTATACGGTCACTTGTGTTTGACCACGAGTGAGTGTTCTCCAATTCGCAATATGCAAAGAAAGAAGGAAAACGGGGCAGGTCAGGCATTCAGAAGAGGCGACAGCAAGGGACGGGAAAAGCACTTACCGAATAGGCAGTGAAAAGTCAAGGAAACAACTCTTTTTATCGGTTTTCAAAACGTTTTCTCCTTTTTTTCTGGTTTTCAAAAACCTGCGATGTTTTTGAGTTTTCAAAAAATTTTGCGTTTTTTGTAGTTTTCGGAGTGTACTGACTTGAATGAAAACCTGAAAACACTGTTAAAAGCAAAAATACTAATCTGACGTTCTACGAAACGTGTCGGTCAGTGAACCCGACGACCAGACCTAGTAACCTTTTTAGGCCTTGCGAAGTCGGAGGACTCAGGAGGCGGGTTTCCGGTTGTGGTGTTGCTGTCTGCAGACGTTTTCTCCACTATTGGTTGGCTCGGTTCATCGAAGGACGAAGGACTGGAGTCGTCGTTCGACTCTGGTTCGGCGCTTACCACCTAGGTGGTTTGTTGCTCAAAAATGTCACTTCAGTGAGAGATCTAGTCGTGATTCTCAACACCAATGGTGCTTTCGAACTATTGGATCGATGCGTCCTCTGAGACTATGTGCTTTAGGAATTGGGTGCCCGGTAAATATGTAGTGTCATAGGGGCGCTGTACGCGCATAGTTCGGGCAGAGTTATGACTTATGGTAAACTCTCACCTGCCGACGCTATCTTCAGCAGTGTGAGACAACCTTGTCCGCGGTCACATCTGCTTTTTAACTTCGCTATCGACGAAGTTATAGAAATTGTGTTCACTGTGCACGACCCACAAGGTGTGAAGCTGATTCCTGGTAATCGTCTTCTTGAGTTGGAATACACCGACGGTATTGCCCTCATTCTTGACAGTTTGCAGACGCGCATATCAGAACTGGATAGATTAGCACTGGATGTCAATCGTTTCCGGCTATGCTTCCTACCGTCGAATGCTAACTCCTCCCAAATTGGCAGGGACACAGCCATGCACTAACCCTTGGTGGGGATCAGATAGAAGTCGACCTGAAATTCAATTATCTGGGCAGCTATATTAGCGCCCCTGAGATTGAAGGTGAGATCACGAGCCGTACAACAAAAGCTTTAGGCGCTTTTGCTACTTTTCGCTGTGTGGTGCCGATCTGACACTACTCTGGCTCTGAAGGGCAGAGTTAACAATGCAGCCGTCCGTTCAGCCCTCCTGCACGCTTGTACAACCTGGCTGGTCTGATCGTCAAACCCAAAGAGGCTTGTTAACTTCGACCGTCGCTGCCTCCGTAGCTTAGTGCACATCCCGTGGGAAAAGCACGAGGGCAATGAGCGCGTTCGACGTCGCGTATTTCGTGCAGGAACAATGAGTGAACCGCGCAGCACCGTTTTATCACTCACTAGGCTCCGATGACTGGCCATATTCTGCCTATGCCTGCACTCTGACTCCCGCGACGTCCGTTGTTTACGCACACAGGAATGCGGGTGGAAGAGAAGGAAGGGAGGCTTAGCAATGACTTAGCCAAGCGGAATGAAAACCTTCATTTTGAACTTGGCGTCAGTTGATGCATTCCGACTACCTGGCTGCGGTCCGAAAGATAGTAAACACGTTTGCTTGGATTCAATAGTTGGCATGGCCAAGAGCGTCGGCCGGTGGCCGAGTGGTCTGCGCGTATGGTTTGCAACCATAAGGTCACCGGTTCGAATCCGTGTAGGGGTGGGCGACCTCGCGGCATACTCAGCCCGTACGCGACTGGTGGTGGTCGCGCGGCAGCGAAGCGCTGTTACGGCGTACAGATAACACCTTTTCAATGGCCAAGAGCCGACCTAAATGGCTTTTGTGTTCTGGGTTTACTTTCCTCCCTCGTCTAGCTTCCCCCTATAACCGTGATATGAAATGGTACATGGCATTATATTATCTCGTAGTTTTGATTTTGTATTTTGTAGTTTGCTATCTTGTTTTTCACATAACCTTTTGTTTTGCGGCAGAACAGCCGAGGTATGTTTTACTTTTAGCTTACGTGTACTGATGATGAGTGATGGTGCAGTCATATTTTGGATATATTCTGTATTGCACTTTTAGGCTCCTGCCCAGATGGTCCATCCGCCAGAATGGTTCTGGACCCCTATATTTTCTTTTCGATTATTGTTATGGGATAAATATCGACCACCTAAATGATGCCAGAAAGGATCGTGGATTATTTTTATACATGTGGTCTTGAAGAAAATATGGGATTGGAACCATATGAATCTGGTTTGTTGAGTTCTCGTCTACCTTTATCTCTCGTAGGCCTTAGAAGTTACAGAACTCGTCGGCCTCTCCCTCTTGAGAGACCCTTCAAGTGCAAAATTTTACAACACTTTCCAGACTATGCCTTGAATCACACATTTGACGCCGAATCAACTAGTTTGGTGCGTTTCTTTCTGTCCAGTTTATTTTCATCAATATGTAAATAGGTCACTATGCCTAGTGGCGTTTGGCTTCGTACACAGCGGCAGATGGAGTCCGTGCGATACTCGTATCCGAAACGGCATACCTTCGTCATAACACGTGAGGATGGCAGCCGAGTTCATGGTCTAGCTCTTCTGTTTTTGTCGGAGGTTACGCACGAAAATGTAAAAGAAGCTGTTTGCTCTCTCCAAGATCTAATTGTTGGGACATCTCACAAGGATGAGCAATCTATTTACGTTCGAAACCGCGACAAGCTTTTTGCCACGAAGGTGTAGTTTTTATTTGCTTTTCCTTGCGCTGCTGCTCCTTGTTATGTACTTATTTGGCCGATTGATCTAGTTGATTTTGCTTACCGAGTACTTGCTCATTGATATTCACTAGATAGTTGGGGATTCCGAGCCACGCTGTACGATATCTGTAACATATTTTATCTTCCATAGTGTGCGACACCTACCACCTAATTGACTTCTTATCCTCACCGCGGTGGCGGCAGCGTTTCCAAGCAAGAACAACACCCATAAGATTGTACTCTTCACTTGTAATATGCATCTATCTGGTTGCAGAGTTGCATTCTTTCATGCTGTAGGGCATCAGAAGTGCACTGATTAGTCGTACCGAAGATTCGGTACCAAGCGATCAGCTGTAGTCTCGTGTGAGCTAAGGAAACCGCGAGATCACCTTACTCACGCAAACTCTAATTGGCGAGGCGAATTGTCTGCGCCATTTGGCCATTGGCCATGCGACGATGACGTTTCGAAGCGTAAAACACCGCTTATTTACACACTATTATGCCTTGTCGATCCCTGCATCTGGTCCTATTGGGACTTTATTCACGATATTAAGAATAACCGGATGAATAGTGAGCTTTGAATCTCCATATACAATCACTTTTCTCATCATTCGAAAATGTTCATTTTGTTTACATGTTCAAAAGCGGCTCGTCTTTTTTTGGCATCTCATCAGCTGTTTGTTGTACATTACTTCATGCCACGCCAACGAACGTTTCTCATCCTGTCAAGCTTCAACCAAGAAACTTGCCTATTCTAAATTCTGCTTACCTTATCTAACGTAAGCAGAGCGGGAGTCAGGAATAAGCACAGTCTCTCGAGTGTGAACTAACGTTCACGGCTGAAGGTAGTATTCGTGGTTATATGGCCGTGATGCACCTATCCAATGTATTGATGTTCTAGATGACCTCTATCGAATGCCTCTTGTTATAGGACTGTTGTATACCTTTATTTGGTTAGCGGTATCTGTTTCCGGATTTGTCTATCACTGCGATCGCGAACAGCCACAAGCCAGCATCGATCACAGAAGAACCGCGGAGAACTTGCGCTGAACCACTCACAGCTCAGTTTACCCATCGCATATCGACTGTAAAGTCAAAGGAATAACGCTGGAGAGCATGGGAGTTGAAGGCGAGATTGATTTTGAGCTAGTCTACACTCCAACATGAGCTTAACAGGGAAGAATGCATACTAGACATACACAAGGCGGTCGGTGGGCTGTAGTTTGTTCTATACTGGATGGTACCACTCTAACACTGTCGCGAAGACTGCATCCATTCTCCCCCGGCAACGATTTGCAGCATACTAGGGCCAGTAGTCGAAGTGGTGGTATCCGACAGGTAGGCGCATCACCTTGGATATCATTAAAACATGCGACAGCACAAACTCACAGGTGCATGTACTGACTAACTACAGCGACGACTCGGCACACGTGCCACATCAACTACATTATTGGCCTGAGTTAATAAATGAAACCAGACTCAGCATGCTTATACTGAATTGAGACCTGCCGACTAAAACAAACCACAGATCTTTGGATCTGCCTCTCGTGGTCAAAGTGACGACTGACCAGACCGATTCGACTGAGGCGCACACCACCGCATGTGCTACAGCACCAATTACATGACGTCGACGGGCTGCGCCTCATCGGCACCTGGCGCTGGCATAACCGGCGCTTTTCTTCCTAAAATACTGTATGCACATCGCTTTACGATGTAGATGAACAGAAACTTCGGCGATTATTGATGTTATCGCGGAAGCTTGACCATACGGTCGTTTCCACGGCATCTGACAGAATGCGTCGGTCTACACTCCGATTTTCTCTGCCATCCAACATTCGTTATACCAATCGACTCACTCTTGCAGTCACGTGACCTATCCCTTATTCGGAATGCCATGGAACGGCTCGTCCTTTATGCGCAATGCTGTATCTCATTCAACCTTGGTTGGCGGCATCCGGTTCCGGACTTGTCTGTCACTGCGGCCTACATAGGACAACCACAGGGCGCTTGTGCCTCATGGACTATGCGTGGCTTGCGCTGCACAACCCACAGTGCCACCAACACACCACTTATCAAGTGTAAAGCCGAAGGAATTAGACTGCGGGGGGGGCGTGTGAATGGGAGCCACGTTTCATCAACGGAGCCGGCCCACACTCTTTCAACATGCACAACAAGAGCATTCCAGTCAGTTCGATTGGGGAATCATGCGTACCAGACGTATACAAGTCAGTGTCTGGGCCGTATACCGCTGCATACTGGATAGAACCACTCTTGGAGCCTAGCACGGCCACGAGAACTGTGCACTCCGTCCCCCAGCAATGATTCACAGTATCCTGGAGCCAGTATAATTCGAGGTGGAGTATGTTAGACAGGTAGGCATCTTGTTAACATTCACATCAAGTGCAGCCACACTGGGGATATCAAGCAATCTACACAGCATTGGAATGCAAATGAACATGCAAAATTAACACGAAATATGCGACGGATAAACAGAACTGAGCGAACCAATTAAAGTGGAGTACTTTTTTGATTGTTACTACCATCTTTTATTTCTTATCCCTATGGCAGAAACTGCTGACATCCCTGAATGCCCAAGTGGGGCGCTTTTCAGATTCTGAACAACACCTGGAAGGGCGCTTTGGACTCGATGCACGCCAAACAGACAATGGGGATCGATTCCTGCAACTGTGCGCCGGCTGCATTCTTTACATTAACAGCACTGCTTTCCAGCACAAACTTTCACACCGCGTCGCCTGGCGCCCATCGAGTGAGCTGGACTAGCTTAGCAATATTTCCATCAGCCGCAGATGGCGCACATCAGCCTAAGACTGTCGGTCAATTTGGAGCACATGCCTACATTCCGACCATGCTCTAGGGCACGAACGCTTGACACTCACTTTCCTCAGTCCAAAGAAGCGGCTGTTTTTAAATCTTCTTACTTTTACCTTGAACTCTTAGTCTGACCAATTGTCAGTGATGAATGTGGTTGATGAGCCAAACGCTGAATGGGATCGTTTCAAGTGTGCCATGAAGAATGCCTTCAACGTTTGATGTGTACCCAGCTTGAGACAACGTAACTGTGAATGGATCTCTGTGGCATCGATCAGTTTGATCGAAGCGTGTAAACGGGTTCCGATGAGCATTGAGTTTCAGCGTGTCCGTAACTCTCTGAAACAACGTCTGACAAGAACTCTTCAAGTTGACTGGGAACTTTGGTTGGTTGCAAATGCCTGAGATGGAGAAGGCTAGTGCTATTCCATCTCATCCGGAACACGGGTCCCAGAAAGCAGCCAGTTAACGAGGCAACTGGTGAAAAATATGGACTGCTGATTCATTTTCAGCGCCGTCGGCTAACCCATTGGATGGAACATTTTGAAGAGCAGTTCAGCAAGCCTGCTGTGGCAGTGCCGCTTGCCGAATCACCCGCTCTGAGGTGGAAAGTAGATGTCAAACCTCCCACTTTGGAAGTTACTGGACATGAGCTTTGTTTTGTAACGAAACGAGGCTCCTGGACCCGACGACCTTCCCCATCTTTGCTGAAAGATGGTGATAACTCTGTTAACTACTTGCTTCTAGATAACTCAATTTGGGACACCGTTGGGGTGCCTTCCAACTGGCGATTTTCAATTACGGTGCCAATTTTCAAGAAGGGTCAGCGTACCTTGTACGGAATCATCGATACGTTAACGTTGGTTTCGTTGCCTTCAAAATTCTTACGTTTATCATACTTAAACTATTTGCTGGTCTTCGTGAATACCGAATTACTGAAAGTCAGACTGATTTCGGCCCTGGTCTTGATGGCATCGACCGCATATTTACCCATTGCCAAATTTTAGTGTAGAGACACATCCAAACGACCGACTATGGTGGTTTTCCTTGATTGTAAAGCCGCCTTCGATTATGTTGATCGAGGCTGTGTGAGGGTCTACAGAAAACTCTCCTGAGTTTCCTAATACAAATTCGATTCACCAGGGTCGTCCTGTATCTCCTTTCCTCTCCAACGTTGTCATCGAAATGATTCGGTTCTTTCAGACCCTATCTGAGTGGATGTTTTGCCAGATGACCGACTAACAAACCTGGAGGATGCGGATGACATAGTTCTCCTTTGGTCTGATACATTGGCTATGCAAACACTACTGGATAAACTTATGCATGGCGTTGTACGCCTCGAAATATGCTTTGCACCTTCAGAGTGCAAAGCACTGCTGCGGGATTAGACTGACACCTTTGGTTTTATCTATTTCCGACCAGCCACTGGAACTGGTTGATCGGTTCACATAATTTGATAACTGTCATCTCTGGTGATCACATTACTGACAAAGTTACTTCGCGTACTAGCAAAACCCGTATGACTTTCCAGGGGCTCAACCATCAATGGAGATGGCGGCATATCAGCTTGTCAGTGAAACGTAGGCTGTATAACGCTGCGATAAAACCATTGTTACTGTATGGATCGCAGACATGGCCAGTCCGCGACGAAGACATTAAACGCTTGGCCGTGTTTGACCACCACTGTCTGCGGAGTATTGCTCATATCTGGAGGGAACGCCTGGTGAGCATTGCTTAAGTCCGTCAGTTGGATTTTGACAACAAGCCTTCTCGTACCTCACTCGAGTGTTTGCTAAATCTTATTCGCTTGCGTTGGCTAGGTCATATTCTCCGTTTGCCCGTTGATCGGCTTCATCGGCGTGCATTGTACGCTCTGGTTGCACCAGATTGGGCGAAAGTGCGAGGTAGCCAATGATGTGTCGTATATGCATGAAGAAATTGACTAAGAGACTTGGTCAGGCTGGTGCGTGCCGTCTTCATTGATGGGGTCTCTGGATGCTCCACATCACTGGTTAAAGACTCTATCAGACGGCACAATCACGCAGTCCGTGGCATTCCTGCATTCGGTTTCTTGCATCTGGTTGTTACTTTTCGTTCCATTCTGATTATGTTAATGCACTTATTGCTTCTATTTACTCTACATTCTGTTCG